GAAGAACATCATTTGGGACACGTAAAAGGCTTGACTTGGGGAGATCAGAACTCTGGGGGGGTTTGTTGCTGGTCCCACCAGCTCAGAGGTTTGGGGGCTTTTGTTCCTTTCAGGACAAATGAGGGAAAACAAAATGCAGGTTAAGGATTTCTGCTTTCCTCCCACAGATGTAGTCAACTTGGACCTGAAGTCTACCCTCAGGGTTCTGTACAACCTGTTCACCAAGTACAAGAACGTGGAGTGATCCTGAAAGCTGCTGAGGTCTCTTCATCCTTCAGCCTCCTGAGGCAGAAATGACCATGAACACGCCCTCTGCACGCCCCCCTTGTGCCTTCTGCTCCACTTCATGCATTCTTTCTACAGTTGGTGTGCTCTGTCTGTAGCTCTTTGTATGACAATTCCACTAAAAATAGTGCATGTGTAATTCTCTAGGTCACTTGAAAATGTGTAGGTATGTCACACTTTTACCAGAAGCTTGGATCTGTTGTTTGTTATAACCTACAAGTGTTGTTTTGAGAAAGGAAATATACCACTAACTACTTTAATGAGCAGGGAAAACACAAGACCTTCCTCTTGGCTGGAGACTCTTTGGTTCTACACTAGGCTTTCTTTTGTACCCTCCTTGGTTGCAACTGGCATTTGGTGATTTTTCCAGGCTTAAGCGTTTAGCAACAGAAAATCAACACTGGGATTTATTTACAAGCTGAGGCTTTTCTGTTAAATAAGGTTTCTGTTGGGTGGGTTGGGCTGAGGGGAATTACAGGCACTACCTGAAGCTCATGGCGAAAGCTTCAGGTTTTGGGTTTTTTTCACCTCATTCTACTCAGTGTTATTTCCATTCAGTGTTTACACAGAATAAGTCATGTAATGGGATGACCAACTAACTTTTTTATGTCTATTTTTATTTGATCTTTTTTCTAGGAGAAATTTGGTTGTTAGAGCCACTGTTCAGCTTCAGTCAGGCCAGTCAGGAGCTGGTCAGACAGGCACAGACTGGATTAATGCATTTTGCCCCCAGTCCTTTCTGAAATAATGATCTTGGCAGTCTAAAGGTTGATTCCTCATTTCACATTGAGGGGTTAAAAGGGTCTGATGACTCCTGTTGGAGTTGTTGGCAGCTGTAGGGTCCTGGGGGTCAGGCTTTTATAAACAGGCAGGTTTGCTCTGCTCCATGAGCTCACTTGAATCCCGTTATGAGCAGGCATATTCTTACCCTGAAAATAGATTTCTTACACCAAACATTATTTACCCTTGAACTCAGGAACCACGCTCTTTGAATGGTATAATTTTGCAATTGGGATTTTCTCCTTCCCTCCTTAAAGAGTTTTTCATCTCAAAGGGAGAGAAATGGACTTCTGCTTCTTTGTTTCCTATTTTTGGGTTCTGAGCTTTAGCATTTGAATTATTTGGGTCACCTCCCCTCGCACCTCTAAAACAAAGATGGAAGGCAGTTGCCCTTTCTTTGCATGAAAAATTCAGATCTCCTCTGCTGTGTAAGGTTCTCTGGGGAATCACTGCTTGCCTGTGCTTTAGGAAGGAGCTGACCTCTCACTGTTTATACAGAGCCCAGAAAAATTGGGCTCGGAGTTCAGATGGGGCCACTAAACTGCCACAGCACCAGCAGTTATTGCAGAGGAGATTTATAAAGGCACCAAAGGCTGGTGGGTCAGCTCTCCTGGCAAGTTAAGGACATTGGTCTTAATTCTGTGCTGCGAAATAAGGGGATCATGAGGCTGGAAGGTGATGGAACTTTCTGAAAGGCCTCTCAAACTTTTAGTTTAATCCGGTGTTACCTGTGGAAAACAAGCCTGTTAAAGAGTTGTCATTCCACACATCTCCCTTCAGGTGATGTGGAAGGGCCAGTGCTGTTTATATTCTCTGGGAGCTGCTGGGAAAGACCTCCAGAGAGTCTAGTTTTTGAAATTGCAAGCAATATTAATATCAAAAGCAAACAAAAAATAATAAGAGATTAATAAGAGCGATTTGGCTTTGGGGATGGTTCTCTCTGAGATGGGATTATACAGCTGGCATCTTCATGGCTTGTGAGCAGATGTGAATGTCCTGACAGGTTTTAAGAGTCTGTTTTGTTCAATTATGCATTTCTGGTCACTCTGCAGAACCCCAAGTCCCTCTGCTGCAGCCTGAGGCATTCCTTATGCTAATATCCCTGTCAGCCAGGGCAGCATCCTTATGTTGATGTCCCAACCAGGACTGCAGGCTGGATGCCCTGAGCAAGTTTGGGGCAGGTGTCAGACCACGTTCTGTTACGTTTTTAAGTCTGTTTGTAAACATTGCACAGGGAAAATACTCATTCCTTGGCTCCTGGCCACTCACTGTTCCTGCAGACGCTGCATTTATTGTTAACAGGACTGTGAGCAGGGTAGATTTAACTGAACTGGAGCTTCATCCCAATGAGTCCAGTTTCCAGGAAGAGCAACGCAGGTAAAGCTTCTCTGCACACCTGCTTTTGTCCTGCCTCTCTGCTACACCTGTGACACTTCCCTTCCTCTCAAAAAGCCAGGCCCACGTCAAACATGTTATCCACGATCTCTTGGTGTTACTGGGGGTTGACGTTTGTTCCCTGGGTACCAGTGGAATGGATCCCAATCCTGTTGGGTTCATCTGGAGCGCTGGATGCTCTGCAGCATTAAAGCTTCCACATTTGGAAGTGCTTAATGAATGTCTTTGTCTTTTCCAGTCCATGCAACTTGACTTTTAGGTGCCTCTCCTGGACATAAGTCAGTTCCACTGAGCTCTCTTACCACAGAAGCAGCTCAGACACTCCTCAGCTGCATTCTGGTTTTCAAGATGAAAAACCAACAGTGACAGATTTTTTTAATCACCTTAAACCTTAAAGGATTTCTTACCCCTCTTCTCCACTCCCCAGTGCTTTCAGTATTAATGTGTTTTTTAAGAGTCTTTTCTACTGTTTTTAACAGTGTTTACTCTGGATTTCTAACTACTAAAACCCAGCCTTGCAGATAAAATTCTGGGCTTGTCACATGCTGGAGACACCCAGCTTGGTGATAAGAGTTGTGTACTGTAAGCAAGTTACAATGCAATGCTATGTTTGCTAAAACTCACAGCAGGAATGTTATGCATGGTTTGTGACAGTTGTACTATTTATTCAAATAAACAAATAATAATCACTAAGTTTTCTCCATCTTTTGTTTTTTTTGCTAATTGGACAAGTCTGTGGGAAGAACTTTTGAATGGTGAAGTTCAGCCACCAAGGATCTTAGATCTGTTTCTGGCCTTGGTACAGGTGATGAGAGGGTATGGGCAGCACAAATAACATCTTCCATTGGTTTCTTCAGCTTTTTTTCTGTATTATTATTGCTCAGCTACTGGACCTGACCAACTTGTTTATCTTTTTCCTTCCACAAGAGAAAAGCAACTGAACTGCACTCTCTGCTACCGTTAGAAGGCTTGGGAGCCAGTTCTTGCACATCAGCACAGGAGGGAATCCTGGCATGCCAATTTGTGCCTACAGAGCTCTTGGGAAGCTCAGGGAAGTCTGGAGTGACACTGAAAATGTCTGTGTGCTTCCCTTTGCTCTGGTCTGGAGAGAGCACAGAGTGGCTCTCCAGTACTGCAAGGCTGCGTGGGGAAGCAGGAAAATGCATTATCAGATCTTGGTGGTGGTGGGACTGCTGTTGGTTCCTTGAATTGTTCTTCAGTGGCTATTTTTAAACGAGGACCAGGTGTGTGGGGGTGTGTGTGTGCATGAGATGTGCTTTGGGAATGTACAGGAACACTCGGGCTGGGGGGAGATGGGCAAGGAATCAGCTGCAGCTCTGAGGCAGAATTTACTAGAGCAGTTCTGCAGAAGACTGGGTGCTCCTTGCACTCAAGGCAACATCTTCTCCTTTGAAGGAAAAGAAGAGGGTTGTCCATCATTTGGTTTTCAGAATTGCTTTTTTTAGCACTGACACTCAATTGTGAATGAGGCTTTCAAGGAAGAAGTCCTTTGTGTTGCTAGTTGAAGTAGGGAGAGACCTAGGAATTACAGATGGATTTCCCAGCAGTTAGTTCTTCCTGCTCCCTCTGCCTGCTGACGTGAAGCTGGCTATGTCCAAAGTTCCCAACAGCATCTCCAAACAATACCTTCTTTTTGTTTTTCACTTACTACATGTTTAGACTGCAGAATGCACTTCTGAATAGGTGAGAAGGTACTCTGGGTCTTTGCTAATTTGTTGTACTGTTGTGCTTGTTACCTGATTAGAAAAGAGTTAGGTTTGGCCCTTGCTTCAGAATTTTGGGTTAAGTTCTCTAAGAATTCCTGGCAGCTGGAAATCTGTTTTCAACCCACTTTCCTTTATCCCATTTTTGTCCATTCTTGTCTTTGGCATGGAGTTAAACCAGAGCAGCTTAGTTAGTGTGGCTGGCTGTTCTCTCATTTGGAGGGTTCGTGGAGGACTGCAGGGTTGCTTCGGCTTGCTGGAAGAGTTAACAGATGTAACTGGAACCTGCAGGAAATGTCCAGGGAAAGTGGTCACTGGGGGAAGCTTCTCCTCTTTAATCGCTGATGGCAAAGGGGAGGAAGAGCAGCAGCACTGCCTAGTGGGGATAACTGGTCTCAGATGAGTGTTCTGGGCCCTGCTGTGCCTCATTGGGCTCTCCAGGGACAAGTGAGTTCATCCTCTGCCTGGATTTCTCCTTCCACCAGGTAGGTAGAGTACTGCTGATCTGCTTTACCAGATGCTTGGAGGACCATGAGTAAAAGCACGATTTTGTCTGTTCTTGGCTGGTTTATCCTTCCAGGCAAAGACAAAGCGTGCCGTGAGTCTCCCAGGAGGCAGAGCAGCAAAGAGCCCTGCTGGGCAGTGCCATGCAGGAGTGCTCCTCTCCCTGCACTGCTCTCCGGTGTTTCAGGAGCTGCAAGTTTCCTGCATTTGTGTTTCTGTTTATTTTAGCCTGCAGCAGGGACCAGGCCCACAGACAATGAAGTTCCGGATGCGGCGGTGGTTTCGTTTTTAGGAGCACTGAGCACCACACAACTTCCCCCTCGCACACCCCTGTGCTGCCCTGCATGGGAGACGCTCCCAGCCTGGGGCCAGTCCCCTCTCCCCACAAATCCCATCGTGCCTGCTCCGAGAACATCTTGGAAGATCTTCTGGAGAGCCGCTGACGGAGAGAACAGTAAGTTTGGGGAAAGGGACTCCTTTTTTAACCGTGTAAGGCTTCCTGTGTCCACATGGGTTGTTCTTGCTGAGATAACATCTGATGCTAATGGGCAAAAAGTGACTCTTGAAAGGTCTGGCACTAAACAGTAAGTTGCAGGTAAAAATAAGTTTTAAATTCGGGACACAATGCACGTTCTCTTTTTTTCTTCTTTATTTTTTTATTGTGGTTTTCTGAAGAAATATTAACATTAACATTCCCACTTGGTTTTTATTCACTTCTTTGTGTGATCTAGACAACTGTTCCTAGGAAACTGAGCTAATGCAGAGTAGAGCTTTTTGTCTTTTCAAAGAGGAAGTAAAACAGTTGAAACAGTTTGGTACCTCTGGTAAGTGCTTTGTGAGTATTCTACAGGTAGTTTGTAAGCCAGAGACCACCACCCATTAATGCTTTATCTCAGGGATATCTGACAGCCAGACTGGGAAGACTCATTGAGGAAGAGTGAGCTGCTCTGACCCAACTAGAGAATTAGTTGTTTATCTCTCGTCGTGGCATTGCAAGGTTGTGCAACAGCCTAGTTCCCGACCTAAGAAAACTTCACTTGCAGGTCACGTTCACAGTCAATAATTAGACCTCAATTTTGTTTTAAAATGTCATCATGAAATGCCTTCACAATCAGTATTCAACAAGCAGTTGTCTCCCACAATGATCGAGGACCAAGCCTCGTGCCACACGAAGGGCTGCCTGTGAATGTTAATTGTTAGTAAAAAAGTCTACTGAGTGGTGAAGAGCTGCAGTTCTGGGGCTCTGAAATGCCTGTGGGGAATCAATATTGGTAGATGAGAGGTGAAACACAATCCTGGCTCTACAGACAAAGGATGGGCTCTGAGGGGTGTGTTGTTGCCACTTAGGAATAAGATCTTGGAGATATAATAAATAACTCCATTAAAGCGTCAGCCTGATCAAAAATCAAACAGTGCCAGGAACTGGGAGGAGAGGAACATCGATGTGTTGGCAGCTCCTAATGACCAGGACCCCGGTTTTGATTTCAGGAAGGCTGAGCTGCAGCCTGTTGGAAGTGTTTGTTTTTAGGGAAGTATCTGTATATCCTTGCTCTGCTTGTGGTTTTTGGGGTTCTTTTTTCTCCCCCAAGGTTCTGCTTCTGGGTGCTGTAAGGGACTGGGTAAGAGGCAAGTTAGTCTTACCCAGAGTAGCAGTTTTACACTCTTGACTGAATAGGACACACAGGACTGAGGCCTTAGAAGATATGATATTACATTACTGCAAATTCTGAATTTCAGGCCTTTCCTTACAGGTTTCCAAATTTTAGAGTGGCTTCTGATGTTTGGGCCATGCATAGCCCAAGGGTGTGGCAGGCACAACACATCCCTCTAAGGTGCAGACAGTCAAGGGAAATAAGAGAAACACAAGCTGAGTTTTGCAGCAAAGCTGAGTGAGTGTAAGTTGTGGTTTACACAGAAAATTACCATTATGAGCAGGACTTCCTAAGGCATAACAGCTGTCAGAAACCTAATTTAAAAGTAAGTAGTCCTCAGGTTTCTCTGTATTAATTAACTTTTCTCTCTCAGGGCAGTCTTATCTCAGATAGTTCAGTTGTTCCTCAGGCACTAAATGACTCAATTTCTCCTATCTTATTTTATCAAGCACGTTTTTAGAGACAGCACTCCGTTTTGCAGCCACCATAATGAAATTAATTCCCTTGTGACCCTCTCTCCTGGTGCCTTGCTGGCAATATTAAGCCAACTTGATTTACCAGGCTGATGTGCAAAAGCCATCCAGTGGCTATTTCGTACCAATATTCTCGGCTTGGCAAAATCCCTGTTAGAAAAACACGAGTTCACAGAGCACTTTGACTGGAGCCTGTGATAAATATGTGAGGGAGAGCCTTCAGAGCAGCACTGTGCTGCTGGGTGTCGAGGAGAGAAGTGTCACTGTGGAGGTGTCCTGTGGGCACAGCATTTGCAGCGGGCCCCTTGCTCTGCTGTGCTTTATGGGGTGGGTTTAGGAGCGCGTCACTTCAGACAGCTCAGGCTGTTTCTGGTAAGGGGATGGAGCAGCTGAAAAATCCAGACCAGGGCCAGGCACTCTTGAAATGCTCTGGGTTCCTTCTTAAAGGTGCCATTCCCACTCATTCCTCAGGGAGCCTTAAGGGACAGGGCTCCTAATAACGAGCTTGTGGGAGTCCTGTCCTGGGTGAACCTCTTCCATGGAGCATCTCATTTTCTGTTAAAAGCAGTCAGCATCCCCTCTCCTGCAGTGGTCCAGCACTGCTGAACTTCAGAGGGCACGAGGCAAGCAGGGATTTGCTGATTCAGAGTGTAAATGTCTCCCTGGTCATCGTATTTACTCTTGACTGTCACAGATTTTTGGGCTGTTGGGAGAGATGAGGTCTCTTCCCCGTGGTCGTACAGAAGCTGCCATGGCACAAACAATCCTCTGCCAAGAGAGTCCAGGGCTCAGAGCTGAGTCTCCTGCACCTCTTATTTGTGCACTTACAGCATGTAAGTCTGATTTCTTGCACTTAAATCAATATGCATTTAGTTAAAGTTTGTAAAAGAGACTGTTCAGATTCCAATATCTGTAACTTTTTGCTGAGTTGCAATCTTTGCCAAGCTAAAGCATCCTGGTTTTTTTAGTCTTATGGACCTTTTTAGTCTTGGGGACCTCGAGCAAGCACTTAAAACTGAACATTCCCTGCCCTGTAAGCTGCCTGTAGAGCCTGGCTCTGTCTTTGGTGTTATCTGTGTAGGCAGCATGGTAATTTAACTACTGTGCTCTTGATTTAATAATCCCTAAGTATTGGTAATTTTTACATTTTCTAGCAGATACTCGTTAATACCTTTGGACTGAAAGCTTTTTCATTTCAGTTGAAACAGGATTTTACTCACCTTTTAGAGGTAAAACAGAATTAGATGGAATTACAGCAAGTTTTAGTGCTTCAAGGCTTTTTCTCCTACATTTTGATGATTAACAGGAAAAATGAAAATTGCTTTTAGCTTCTTTTTCTTTACACACATTTAAATATATTTTCAGATTTTTTTTTTTTTTATAACAATCCACTGATCATGAAAGAGTAACTGATAAAATCCCCTTCAGTTTGTTTTCTTCTTAGCACTGATTTTGATCTTTATGTGTCTTTACTCATGTTCCTTTTTTCCCCCGATACTTTTTATCAGTTTACCAGGAGCGAGAAAAGACAATGGATTCAGACTTTTTAAATGTGTTTACACAGCCTTCTACACTTGATCGATTCCTAAATGAGACTGTCATTGCTAAAGGTATGTACTTTATGAACCTAGAGAGAAAAGGGTCCAAAGAACCATCTGAAGAACCAAACAGAAAATGTGCAGTGCGGATGAATTGTATATTTTTCAGCAGTGATCCCATGGTTTTATATGTGTGTAATTTGGCTGCTGACTCTTTGGAGGCAGATCACGAAGAAGCAACACAAATTCCAGGTGGTTATTTAACTAAAATTTAAATAATATAAGGTTCTGACCAACTTTGTTTTCCTCTTTCCAGAACTGTCCATCCAGATCTTACTGGTTTGAATTGCACTGAAGCATCATTTCCAACAGCAGTTCTAATAGTCTGATGTACCATTTTCTCACTGATAAGGAATCAATTAAAATAAAAAATGGCAGTGTTTCTCCATAGGACAGTTCGTGATTATTGGGAACATCAAACTCACAGCAGATTTTGCCACAGATTTGCAGTAGTCATATCTGATAATTGTAATGTTTGCTTCCTTTCATAGGCGAGAAGAGGAAACTCATAAAACCCACCTCAAGCAACAATCCCAAGTTGGAACAATTAAAACTGGTACCACTTCTTTCACTGTATCATTTAACTCTCACCTCAAGCTGCTTTAACCTGTTGACTTGAACCAGAGCAGCTGTTGTGTTCAGCCCTGTAAATTGCCCAGTGCTCAGATCCCACTCTCTGCAAGTGGGAGTGAGCTCTGAAGCAGAGCTTTTGCCTAAGAACAATGTCAGGGTGGCTGGGGCCAAACAGGACCAAGCTTCAAATGCTGTGACCAGTCCTGGGTGTGAAGTTAAGGGAAGTTCAAAAACTGGGTTGTTTCTTGGGTGATACCTCTCCTAGCCTGGGATGTGTGGGTGAGACACACCAGAGACACCCAGTTGTTACTTCATTGTGATGACAGTGTAATAACAAGGAGAATCCAGCTGCACTGGTCCCATGGTAACAAGTCTGAGGATTGCTGTACTGATTTTCATCAGTCTTCTGTCTTGTACTCTGCCTCCCCTCGGTGGAGCCCTGCTGAGGACAAAGAGCAGAGGGAGAAGGGATGGAGAGTATGCAACTCACCAGGAATCCAGGAGAAAAGCTTTCAGGTTCTTGTGTGGCACATTGCCTGCTTGAGGTAAATGTGAGGGATGAATCCTACTTCACGGGAAAGTGCTTTATTTTCAAGTAATTTTGGCACCACCACCCCCCCCATCCCACCCAGTGTGCTCAATCACCTCCTTTCTCTAATGGCACAGCCCAGGGGAAGGCTCACACACTGAAATTCCCTGGAAGAAAAGTGGCATGTCTCTCATGAGACCAGCACTTCTTGCATTGTGGAGGTGCTAGAATTGTTATAAATATTATGAAAAGCAGCTCGAGCTGGGTGCTGATGTTTGTGTTATCTGGCATTTATAAACCCGTGGATAGGTGCATTCCTATATTACGTTTTCGGGCACACTTGATCGAAAAGGTTTGATTTTTGTGGCAGGCTTTCACAATGTTTTTATACAAAAGAGAAAATCTGAAAGGTGGTGCTGCAAAATGCAATTATGTTGTCTGCAGAAACACTGGATTTGTTCTTTCCAGATTGCCAAAACCGAAGAGTTTCGCTCAGTTTATTATCTTTGTGAGCTGAATCCATTTTCTGACAGTGATTCCTGAAAGAATGTTCTTCATTGTCAAATTTATTTTCTTTGCATGATGTGGAGGTGGAAATTGAATCTTGAGGGAGGCACAGCCCTCTGGGTGCCCATCAGTGCCACTTGATTGTCTTCTTAATCTAAAGAATTGATGCTTCTCTAGAGAAGGGCTTGAGATAGGGACAGGGAAGTATGTTCAAGGGAAGAACAAGGGAAGGAAGAAAACTCACTTGGGAGAAAGATTTTTCACTGCATTTTCATTCTGAGGTGGCTTTGGAGAACTAAGGAATGAGAAATGGCTCACTGCAGTTACTATAAATATCGAGCTGCATGTAAAATAGAGGATGGTTACACTGAGAAGCCAGCAGCAAACTTCTCCAAGTGATCTCCTCTCTCCTTTTTAGACAGAAGGCTCTGCCCTGCAGCTGAGTGGGTCAGAAGGCAGAGCTGTGTGAGCTGCAAGCTGTGGATGTGGCTGTTTGGAGCTGAGACAGCAAGTGAGGGATGTCGTAGGTCTGTCCTCAGCAGTATTTGCTGCTTTTTCTGACTTCCCTCTATGTGTGGGGCACTGCTCTACCCCTCACACATCTGAGGCAAGGCCAGGTGTTAATCTGCAAGCACTAACTGAGGAGCACAGCTTTCTGCTCGGGAATATTCTTAGCACAGAATTTGTGTTACACTTTGACAGGGTTCTCAGTTCAGGCGTTGTTGTTTCTTGTGCAGTTTCAAGCAAGATTTTTTTTTTTTTTCCAAACCCTTTTTACATTTTTGTTAATGTTGGATAACTCGCAGGGATCTGCTGTGAATTTTCTCCTCTGTTTACAGCGAGTGAGAAGGATATTATCCACATGACAAACTCCAGACACTCACTCAAGTAGTGATACGAGCAATACCCTTCCCTCTTTCAAGAGGGATGTCCATGTTAGCAGCCAGCTGGGGCTACTGCTTTTCTGTTCTGCTTCACCAGGTCATCCTCCCTTTCCATCAAAATGTATGGATAAAACACATGCTTGGGGAAGTGCTGAGGAGCTGCTTTGTGTGTGGGAGCACACGTCATTCCTTTCCAGTTGTAGCCAGCTCTCCTTGGCTTCCTGAGCAGCTGCCCCTTGCAAAGGCAGGAGGGGATATTGGAAAGGCTGGTGGGAGGATTGCCACGTGAGAAAACCCCAGAAAGGTATTTGGGGACTGTGCAGTAAAATAATGCAAAAAGAAAAAGGAAACAAAAGTAGGAGAGGAAAGGGAGGAGTGGTAGTGACATGGATGAGTACAAGGAATAACCCACAGAATGAGCGAAGCCTCTTTTCTTACAAACTTCTGCGTGGCGCTTGAATTAGTGTGAATTCTGTGATGCATGATATAGGCAGGGGGTGGGAAGTGTGCTGTGCAGCCTTTTTCCTTGCTGGAGGTGGGAATAGGTCTCCCAACTCTGTAACCATCCCACAAAACTCATAGGAATATAACTAGTGAAGTGTCTACTTCACTTGGAAATTAGGAGGAACTAACTGATATTTCCCTTCAAAAACCAACCAAAAAGCATGAGGGAAGTGGAGGTTGAAAGCAAATCAAGATGTGATAAGGGACTACAGAGGAAGGTGAAACACAACCTAGTGCTGTAGTGTCTAAACAAGAGGAATATAATTGCAGCTGCTTTGTTTTCCTCTGCAGTTACTGATTGACTGGATTAACAGAACTCTGCAAGAGGAACACATAGTAGTTAAAAGTCTGGAAGAAGACCTGTATGATGGGCTGGTGCTTCATCATCTCTTGGGTAAGCCGTTCCTTTGAGTTTAGTTCCCAGACACATCATGGGAGGACTTCCAGATCAGAGAATAAACCCCACAACTCACACTAGCAGTGACCTGCCAGGGTCTCACTTCACTAGTGGGGGAAGAACTGCAGTGGGAACCACTGTGATAATTGCAATTCAATAACCCACTGTTGTTTTACATAATTATTTTACTTCTAAGAAAATCTTCTTCTTGGCTTATTTTCATAGTTGCCTGAGCAATGAGCTGGGATTTCTTTGTACACTGTCTACAGGATGGTTAGATAGTTGGATTTCTGTAGCATCCATTAAGAAAAAAAGGAATGGAGAGTGTTGGGGGATGATCCTGCAAGGAATGACTGGAGTCCTTTGCCTTTTGCAGAGCTTCAGTGATTTCACTGAGGCTTTCAGAGAGCACAGGAGTTAAACAAGGCATAAGTCTGTGGGGCTGTGGAAGCTATTAAATGCTACCAAACATTTAAAACAAGGCTTTGTGTGCTTTGCTGTCATTTTATGCTTCTGATTTATTTTTTTAATTTTTTTTTTCTCTCCTTCTACTTCCCGTGGGCTCTCCAAAAGAAAAGCTGGGATCCCTCAAGCTGGATGTTGACAAGATAGCGCTGACAGAAAAGAAACAGCGACAGAAACTCTCGGTGATTATGGAAGCTGTGGCCAAGTGTTTGCAACTGGAGGAAAGTCAGCTGAAGTGGAGTGTGGAATGTAGGTGCAGAAGGGAAACTGGAGGAAATTATCCATCACAGGGGCAAAGGGCTGCCAGAACTGTAATTAAACAGCTTTTTCTCAACTACTGGTTGAATCAAAAGTGAGACAGGAATCTCTGACCATGACTAGCTCTGCCTCCTCTGAGCATGTGGCTTGTGGATCACTCAACAGCCCTCAGTGTCCATGCATGTGTCTCACAAAAAGAACTTTCAAGCTGTGCTTTTGCTAAACTGGGATGTTGTATAAACCCCAGTCTGGTGTCCCACCTGTGTTACGGTCCCCCATGACTTTGGGATCCTCTGCACAGGGAGAATTCCCGATGCTGGAGTGAAGTTTACCAGTTTTGCACACCAAACTTTGTTTTCTTTCCTTCCATGGAACAGCTATCTTGACAAAGGACTTGCTGAGCACACTGCACCTGCTGGTTGCAATAGCACAGCACTTCGATCCCAGCCTGGCCCTGCCTCCAAATGTGCAAGTGGAAACAATCACCATTGAGGTATTTCTAGTTCCAGTGTTTGTTACAGTAGGTCCCAGAGTCCTTTCACAAGGCTAACTTGCTTAGCATTGTATTGGTATTTTCTGGGAGCCTTTTAATTTCTCAGCTTGTCGCATTAGATTTAGTTTTTAGTTCAGTTCCACCTTTAAAAGGGGAGAAACACTGTGCTGTTTTATTTCCTTTATTAAAAAAAAAAAAGGTGTTGTCCAAACTGAAAACAGCTGATGGTGCCTGTAAAGAGGAAAAAGAAGAAATTCTGCTGTTACTATCTTTAAATGTTTTAAAATAGAAGCCTTTACTCATAAATCACGACACTGGTTTGATGTTGAGGATTTCTTTCTTTAGGGGAAGGGAGTTTTTACTGGCCTGTCTCTTCAGGCAGTCCGTTGGGTGAAGCACTGGTTTTTTGATGCTATGTGGAGTACTGAGAACTATATATATAGAGAAAAAAGGAAAAGGATGTAAGAAAAGATCCCAAAGGGCTTCAGAAACAGTAAGAATTGCCATCCTAAATTTAAGCATCCCAGAGAACTGAAGTGCTCTCTGCAGGGGGGATTTATCTGTGGGTGGCAGGCCATGGCACAAGGTTATTATAAGGCAGAAGTGACCATCTCCAGTGCTGCAAACAAGTCATGAAAGCCTCATTACTGCTTATGATTTTTGTGTGTGTGTGTGTGTCACAACCTCCAAATTTTTTATTGTCCTTTCAACAGAACACCTCCAGAGGATTAAAGACATCAAATGCGGTGGAAAATATCACAGACGACAAGTAAGAGGGGATATATCTGGGTTTTTTTACACTGTCAACCAGAAAAGAATTATTGTGGGTGTGCTACCCCTTGGAAAAAGTAGCTGGGATCATGATGATGACAAAGGTTGCAAACCCAGGCATGCATATGCATTTGAGCTGTTTCTCTGATTTCTTTCCTTCCCCCCCCCCCACCTTCAGATTTGGTGTTATGATATAATACCTTTCTTTATTCCTTACCTAAACTTCTCTAAAATAATATACATGATTAGTTATGCATGCTTAGTGTTTGTCATTGCCATGGAACTTCATAGCAAATACAGCAATAAAATCCCAGCACTGTAAATCTACCTGTGCCAGACTAAACTAGAAATTTTCTAAAGCCACAGAGGTTTAAATGTATTTTCAACTTGCTGCTGTTGTGTCAATAAAGAAAGAGAAAGGAGGCAATTCTTTCCTTATTTTGCTGAGAAAGAAAGGTTTGCTGAGTTTATGAGGTACTACCATTATTAAAGGAGTTAAGTAGTAAGATACCATTTATATACTGAGAAAATCTGGATATCATTCCGAGAACCAGAAACAGATTTTCCTACTATCATTTTTATATGCTAGAACATCTTCAAACTCTAATATCATGAGCAGCTTATTGGAAGAGGATATTAAGGATTGTGCTTATAAAATAAAAGTTCACTGGTCTGTGGGCCAGCTAAAATCTCGCAGGCTTCCAGGAGCTTATGCAGATATAAAGTGTACTTAAAAATGTCTGTTGGAAAGTCACTCTGACATGAAGTTAATGGCACTTGGAGCTCTCTCTCCTGCTTTACAAGATAGCAGATAAGCTTTGCTTATGAATAAGATTAGCTCTGCTGAATGATTTTTCTAACTCTCACTTTTTATTGCACTTTCAGAGAGAACACAGAAGCGCAGTCAAGTAAGTGCTGGCACTGCCAAGCGCAGTGTTCCTTTATTATGTGCTGTTAGACACCATGTCCTGATCCATTTTTACCTCATGATAAAATCAGTGTGCTCCCACTGAAGTTAATGGAGATTCGGGGATTTTTTCCTGGTGTTTTGCCTCAAATGTCTTCTGTTAATGTCTGTTCATATCATCACAGTACAGTTTGGGAATTGGGTGGCCACTTTGCCCTTGGATTACGGGCAACAGATGGGAGGTGAGACAGGAAATGATGACCCAACAAAGACTTGTCCAGGGGCAAAATATGTCATGGATTTATGGAACTGTTTATGACCATAAAGCCTTCAGAACCGTGCTTGTTGCTCCCAGTTCCAATGCACTGTTTGCAAATGAGATTTTGAAATCTACTGATGGCAGCTCAGTAAAACCAACCTCCCCAGAGTTTTTGCCCTGGAGTGCTTTTGAGGGCTGGGAAACACTTGAGGTGAAAAATATCCACGTGCATAGAGCCTGCAGAAGGTCTGGGCACTGCTCAGGCTTCAGTGGGAGCTGCTCTTCCTTGTAAAGAAGGTAAAGGAGCACGTTGCATCCCCAGAGAACCAAGGCAGCTGTTTTAACTCTCTGCTGTGCCCTTTATTTTAGTGTTTTCATCCTTTGCAGAGGTCCAAACTATGTCATTTAATACGTATTTATCGCTTATTCCACTCAGTGTTCTCTACTGTGGGCTGAAATTGTGAAAATAAAAACAGAAAAAAAAAACCCAACCCATAATTAGGTGTTTCTTGCAGTGGGTTGGTTCTGCTGTGAAAAGAAATCTGCGAATTCGCTCTTCCAAATGCTCACTCTCTCTATTTTTGACACAGAGAGAAATCCCAAAGCGTGGCTCCAGGAGAGGGCTCTCTAGTTTGCACGATGGCTGCAGGTTTCAGGCTGTTGCTCGGGGATTTGTTTGATGGATTCACCTTTTCCCTGGCACTGCTCCTGCAGCAGCCCCTGAACAGGGAGAACAGGGAAACACCAGGAAACCCCTTCAACAAAGGAGGGAGGCCTCTCTGTCGCTGTCTTTTGGGAGGAATCTTCCTTAAGCAAAGCTGCCTTTGCTTTCCTGCAAAAACTGGTTCTCCATTAAAAAGAAACCCACTTGGTTTTCTTACAAAAACTGGTTCTCCATTTAATTCTGCTGCCAGAGTGCTCTTCATTTTTAGGAGCGTTTCAGAGGCTTTGTTCATGCTTGAAGCAGTGTTGTGGCTGGGTGAGGAGTTGGATCCTGCTCTCACTAAACCTGGGCTGTAAATGGAGGTGAGGGTGGGCATTCCATGAACCTCATTTCCAACTCAGTGCCAGCTTTAAACTGGTCATTTTGGAGATCCCAGAGTTTCCAGAGGAAGGGCAATGTCTCCAAACTCGTGGTTTGTTGAGGGAAGGAGGCTGGTTTTTCTGCAGATTTGATGTAACTGATGTTTCTGTCGGGGCAGAGCAGTAAAATGGACAGCTCTTCTTCTCTGCTCCCAGGATTTCGTCCCTGAGGTTCAGGGTTAAAAAAACCCATAAGTAAAAAGAGAGAAACTTGGCCATTGCTCAGACTGGTGGCAGCACAAATCTTGAGAACCTCTGCAGGTTGGAGTTACATTCAATAATTTAATTATTGAATGAAGTCAGCTGTCTTCTCTGATGTAGTCAGGCTGAAGGGAGGCCTGTCACCCTGTCCTCTGATAAATACAAATAAAATAAAATAAATAAATACTTAAATACAAAAGCAGGATCTCTCCCCACACCTCCCTACAACTCTGTTCCTCCCTGGATTTTAAGTTGTAAATACCTTTCTCTTTCTGGAGCCACATTAAACCTCTGAGCTGACAGTTATTCAAAATAAAACCAGTTAATGTTGTTTTGATACAGATGATGCCTTTGATGAATTATTTAGCCGTGCTCCAGATAAACTGGAAGCTGTCAAAAAGGTAATTTACTTTTTTTAGTAGACATCAAAATGTGTTAGGCAAAACATAAAAGATAAATCTCCACTGAAAAAGTTTTTTTTTTTTCTTCTTCCCCCACCCCTCCTTCCCCTTCTGTTTTCTTTAGGTGTTTTTGCAGTTTGTCAACCAGCATCTTGGAAAATTAGGATTAAGTGTGAAAGACATCGAATCTCAGGTAAACCACGTTTTTTGTCAGTGTTTCCTCTCACCATTATGAATCCTCCTTTTTGGTGTAGCAGTTTGAAACCTGGCAACATAACAATGATTTCCAGCCTCTGAAGTTATTGAAAAAGTATTGAAAAAATACAGCCTTTTCTTTTATTTATAGTTACACATTTGTCACTTGTGCCTTTCTCCACACCTGGAATAGTTTTGCTTTAACAGCTGTCCTTTTACAAGGTCATATCTTCACTAATATGAACTTGGAAACCTTATCTATCTAAATATGAATATTCACTGTGGAAGAGGTTGAGGGAGCTGAGTCATTAGACTGCTTGCCAGAGTAACATTTAAATTCCTTTCTTGCTGGGATGGCATTTATTGGAATAATTTGCTAAAGCCAAATAATTTTCAGATCATTCTTCCTCTAGTTTTCAGATGGAGTTATCTTACTTATCTTAATTGGGCAGCTGGAGGGTTACTTTCTGAATTTGAGGAGTTTCTTCCTGACTCCAGCCAGCACCACGGAGATGGTAGGTTGTTCTATAACCACTTAGAGCTTGAGACATCGAACATCTCGTGTGTTTAATGCTTTTGATGGCAGTGGAGAGCTCTGCTGCTGCTGTGGGTGAAGTCAGACACCTGCAGGGTTTGCAGGGTGGGGGTTTGGGACTGTACAAACACACCTTTGGTGCTGTTACAATACCTCGGTGTCTTCAAAACCTCTGGGAGGCAAACAACTGTTCCTTGCATTTGTTTGGCACCTCTAAGCTTCTGAAGCCTCCTGGTGAAATCCAGAGGGTCTGTGTGGTGGGGAATCAGGGTGCAATCACCTACAAGCCTGTCCTGCAGACATTTTTAAGTGGATGACACCTCTTGCACAGCACAACTGGATCCCTGTGGGTTCCTCTATGCTGCCCTAAAAATACACCTTAATCAAGACATGGCCAGAACATTTTCAAGGCCCCCTCTGCTTGGAAAGTTGACATCCTTTCCTCCCCCAAGGCTGGGAGCTGTAACCTCCCCAGCCAGACCTGCTTGGCAGCTTTTTCAGCTTGTGCCAGGCAGATTTCATCTGTGATTTAAAAGTAAAAGCTGTCATCAGCCAGAAGGCACCATGTGCTGGGCTGCCTCCTCCACGGGTCTGGAATGTTGATATATTTTGAGATATTGGAGATATTTTCAGATTGTCTCTGCTGTGGGTAGGGGTTTTTCATTTGGGTCACGGAATAGCTCTGAAAATCTTGAAACTATTTTGGCTGGGTTATACTCAGACTTCTGAAGGTGAAATGTGTCAGATCCTTTTCACTTGAGAAGGAAATGTCTCATCTGGTGTGGTTTGCATTGCAGGTTCCCCACACAGGTGAAGCTTTTGTCTGATTCCCAACCTTAGCACAGTTAATGTCTTATTTGTACTGGAAATTCTCAGAGGTCCCATAATAATGAATAAGTATTCCCAGGGAACTTCTCATCAAAACATTTAGAAGCACAGTTGTTTGAGGCCTGGGTTCAAATGTTGTCAACATTTCACTGCTGTCAGTTGGTAACAGGTGTTAGGAAAAATAGGGTTTTTTTTAAAATCTAAGAACAGGGAAAATATATTTTGAAGGGTTGAATCAAACATAATGAAAGCATTTCTTTGGAGCGGTTTTTCTTCTCTTTCTCCTTCACCCAGTTTTCAGAATTGTTTAGCCTGTTCCACTGACTTGGAAAGACATTTTTAACATTTTCATTAACTTTATCCAGAGGAAGTCAATGAATATTTTCTTATTTAAACTTTCATAGATAAGCATTTTCGTTTTGGTTCAGCCCTATTCAAGCCTCACAGATTTCTCTCTAGACATGAGATGGTCCTGCAATTCAGGTACAAATCAGAGCTCAGACTTCCCAATTCTTACCTTGCACATCACTGGCATCAGAGAAGAACAGAATGGGGTTGGGCACTGCTTCAGTACAGTTCTTTCCACTGGAGCAATTCCATTTTAGCAAAACTACTTACAAGTACTGGACTTGCTGTTGAACAGTTTGCCAAAGTGGTATTTACCATTTGTTTCTCCTCTGATGTTCATTGCAAGATGCAAAGTGGGATGACACCATAACTAAAAATATTGATCGACCACAGTTCAGCTGTCACTTGGACATAAAATGTGTCTTTCAATTCCCCCGTGCTTTGTGACTCCCTGTCAGTTTAGACATTAATTGGTGCAGCAAAGTGGGAAGATGTGACCTTTGCTGAGATTGAAAAGATCTCATTTGTGCAGCAAAAGTGATGACAACCACAGGCACTGTTGTGATCGACTTTCTCTCAAGCTGAAGGGACAGCTGGATGTTCAAAGCTTCACTTCATGAATTGCAGGGAGGGGAAATTAGGCTGGAAGGAGTGAGAATGAGGAGGAAATGGATACAAGGAATAAGGAGGGACGGGAGGGGGGTGAGGAAACTGGGAGCAGATGAGCCTTAAGATCCCTTCTAACCCAAACCATTCCATGATTGAGACCGGGACATGATCAACCTGCAGGTGCAAGGAGACAACTCTGGGTGTGTGTGGGTTTGTTGCAGGTGTTTTGGGGTGTTATTGCCCAAAAAAATGAGGTTTGCAGGTAACTGTGAAGAAGTCCACCTCGGGGTGCTCGTGTGCAGGGAAAGGTGTGTGTGTTCTGTGACAAAGAATATGATCACAAAATAGTTCCGGCTGAAATTCGGGGTGAACTTCGTAAAGTCAGGAGATGAAGATGATGATGAAGGACGGCCCCTGGGCTTCTCAAAACTGGGTGAACTTGGTACTTTTGCCAAAACAGGCCCAGAGCTGAAACACCCTGAATGTCCTGACTCCTGTCCAGCTGTAAATCCTGGAGAATTGTCCAGCTGGAAGTGCAGCTGAATAAAATAACTTCCTTTTCAAGCTTTCCTTTCTTTGGTAATTAGCAGTTTTTCTGTCTGAATGTTCGTTTTGAAATCTGCATGTTGTCATTCCTTGGAAATCTCATATGCATTCCAGAGAGGGAAATGTGTCCATTTTACCTATGCTGGTTCATTAATGAAAGAATTAAAAAAAAATTCACAACTGCTGCTTATGTGTGTGATGCAGTTTTTATGTGGGGAAGGAAGATAAAAAACAGAGGAAATCTTAGAAAAAAACCCCAGCCCTCATTCATAGATGTGTTTAATTCCTCATGAGTGTTATTAAGGATATAATTTATGCTCTTACTGTGTATGGACGCCTTCATGTGGTGCAGCAGAAACTTTTAGCTCCCAAATACAGCTGTTCCAGAGATTTCCACTCCTGAAATTCTGAATAACACATAAAGAACTTCTCCTTATGTATTTTTTGTTTGCTCCAAGTGTGCTAGGCATGTGGGCATTGTTAAAAAAAAACCAGAAATAAACTCCATGCATCTATCAGATCCAGTTATGAATCTGGCCTGTTTTCCCCATGGAAGCATCCATTAACACAAGTCTTTCACTTGTGAAGGTCTATTTTTAACTAGATGGATTCCTCTACCCACCTCATGGGATATGTTTTGGTGGAGATGGGTTTTACATCTAATTTTATATGATAATTGGTAGAAATTCTGAAGAGCACTCCATCAAAACTAAGGAGATAAATATGAGTACATATTTATGAATCAGTATCTTTAGCTACTGGAGAAATATTTTTTAAAGCCTTCTGGCCACTGCACTGTTGGGGAAAAAAATATTTAAATATTTTCTATTATTTTAATCTCTCTCTAACAGCTCCACAATGTTAACCTTGCCTTGGACTTGCTGGCAGATGGAGGTCTTCTGAATTTTTCTGTGAACTCTGAAGGTGAGTCATGACATGCAAACTTGTCTGGAATAGAATTGCTAATATTCCTGGCTTAGCAAAAATTAGATTAATTGCAGAAAGCAGGTTCTGCAATGTGACACATTTCATTATACAGCTGCCTCACAGCTCCTCACTCAGAAACGAATAGTAGTGGTAAAATAAAACTTGTTTTGAACAATCCTTACTTCTCTCCTAAAAAAAGTTGGATTGTTATAAGTTTAGTAGCTTTACCCTAAAAGTGTTCGGTAATTCAGTATTTGTTAAAGATTTAAACCAGTGACAGCTCCCAGGGAAATTACAGCAGCTGAGCTGGAGGGAAAATTATTTTCCTGCATCATAAAAGGTTTCAGTGCGTTAAAAACAAGATTGTTTCACGTGGGAAAAAAACCTTCCAGAATATGTCCTGAAAATCAGAAACACTGATCACTCTATTCAAACCCAGCAGAGCTGGTGGGTTTCAGTCTCCTGAATATGAAAATCATAGGTTTTAAGTTTTTATTGTGCTTGGTTCCGATCTGGGAGCTGAGTATTGATCCAAGTGAGTGCTCTCATCACTGAATCAACGTGCATGCATGTTCCACCAAAAAGAAAACAAAACAAAACAAAAGCTTCATTTGGATGAGTCCAATATTCCAATTAAAAAAAGCCAATACAGAAATTCCACCAAAAAAATGTTTTACCAGCTCCTGGTGCATTCCATTAATGCCCACCACGTTAAGAACCACTCCTGAGTGTGGTTACATTAATGGATGGTGCTGGGACTGCACAGCCTGACCCCTTGCAGGAAACAACCCCCATCCTTCCTCCACCAAGCCCAAAAGCTTGTGGCTGAAAAAGAAAGTCAAATCTCTATTATTAAAAATGGAAAGGATTATCTCTACTCCTAGTGGTGGCTCCTGAGAGAGGAGCGTGTGTGTTTGGTACAGGACACCTGGAGTCATGGAGAGGGAAAGATGGAATGTAGGACTTCCTTTGGTTTTTTCTTCTGTTCTCTTTTTTTTTTTTTTTTTTTTTTCTCCCCATGAATGAGTTGGTGATGTCAGCAGTTTGCCTGTCAAGCATTCATGAATTGTGGGCTTTTTGCTGTGCCACGTAGAGCTGGGAATCTGAAAAGCTAAACAGCCTTTATTTATGTTAATGTTTAAAGAGTGAGCTCACGTCTCCATGCTGAGATCCACCTTTTGTGGGAAAGGAGATAAATCCATGCTTTCCTTCCTTCCCTCTGGCTGTTCTGCACTGCCTCAAACACAGAGTTGATCAGGATAAGAAATACTGGTGCCAACATTTCCAAGTCCTTTTTAGCTTCCCTGGGAAGATCCTCAGCTAGTGAGTAAATTTAATATGATTTAAGGGTACTTATTACAGCTACGCCACTTAGGCTGCTCAAGGATCTCATGTACTCGTGTTTCATTGTTACTCTTTCTCCCAGTGATTTACAACGTTGTAAGAAACCCTCTAAATCAGTTGCCCTCTTCCATTGCCATTATTAAATGCAAGAGCAGTTTGTTTAGCCAAGAACACAGAAGCTGGAAAACTAAATGAAAACAAACAAACCGAAAAAAGAAAGCAGCCAATGGCAACAAAACATAGTGGAAATATTACAACAACAAAAAAATACCATGTCAGGTAATTCCCAACATGGTTCCTGACATAGAAGAATCATAAACAACTAAAGCTATAAAGCCCTATTAAATTATCTACTCTATTCTCTACTAGCAAGGCATTATTTCTTACTATGCATTATTTACCCTGTCTTACAGCAAGATAGGGCAGTGAAGGTCCCTTTTCCTTAAGTTCCTCTAGTAAATAATTTGTTTTCTAGCTCTGTAGTTCCTATTTTGCTTCTTGTTGCAATCAGACTGTCTCAGCTCCCACTCTAATTGGGGAAAGGTGGAGGATCCTTTGGCAGGTGCAGTCTCTCTCTGTTCCAGGCACTGCTAATACTTCCCATCTGCTTTTGTTGTTCCTGGTTTGTGTATCCACAGATATTGTGAACGGAGATATGAAGACTACAATGAGGATTCTGTATTGCTTGTATTCCAAGTACAAGACCAAAGAAGCATGAAGGACAAGGCCAAAAACTTGAGCTTCTTTCCTCCCTCCCAGCATGTCATGGTGTGATTTTTGGATTCCCAGCTCTGTTTGACACCGCTTCTGTTTGACACTTGCTGTGTTAACACTGTTTATGCAAGTCTGTTATTCATGCAACGTTTCACATATACAGCCTGAGTAACTTTAAATATTGTGTGTCCATGGCCAGTGTAATTCTGTGGCTGTAACTCTTGTTCCAGACCCTGCCTTTTGCTTTCTCTAGTGCTGCAAAGAGGTGCAGTGTGTGTTTTTTTCTGGACTCTGCGTTCTTTGCTCCTTAAGGTGAATTTGGAAGTTGTTGTTGCAGCCTCCCCACTTTTCCTGCTTCGGAGTCGCTCTGGAAACTGGAGAGGTGAAGACTGAGACCCACTTGAAGCTCAAGTTGGTCACCTCCTTTGGAGAGCTGGCCAGAGGTCGTCAGACAAGAGGATATGGATTGGACACCAAGTGAATGGGCAGCAGAAAGGAAATCTGAACTTACCAAATGTGTGATGAATGTTCCACTGCTCAGATATGGAAAAGGGACTCAGAACAACGTGAGACTGTGCAGTGACAGAGGGGTCTCCTGCACAGCTGGAGGAAGATGCCCTTATTTCCTGGCCAAGCCAATGCCAAACTGTGGCTGGCTCCAGCCTGTTGCATAGTCTTTGACTGGCAGGAATTCCAGTTCCGGTGTCAAATTAGAAAGGCTCCCATGTCCACGCTTTCCAGTAGGAGGTGGAGAGTTGCCGGCTTCCTCTGCATCTGGGAGAGACCATCATGGGTGGGATTAGTGAAACTCCGCTTCTGGCAGCTGAGCTGTGCTGCAGGGGCTCTCAGACTCCTCTGAGACTCTCCCAGCTGAGCTTATCCAGCCACCATCCCCAAGCATCCCAGTATCTCCCTCTGGATGTGTCAAGGCTAGCCACAATTTATGTTAGCTGTCACCCTCGCTCTTCCTTGGGGGTTTTAAATCACAGCTCCTTCAAAACCTCCATCTACTCCCTTGACCTTAAAATTATGTCACGTTGCAGAAAACTAGAGATCTAATAATAAAGTTTTGGTATTATTTTGGCTTCCATCTAAACTGATTTAATTTCCTGTCGTCAATGCCTCTGACATTTGATCTCTGGTCTGGTCCTCCATCTGTGTGTTAACGGGAAACCAGAGCTCCAGTGCTGACATTTACAGATGAGAATTTGTTGTGTCTACCCCTGGATACAGAGCCCAAGGAAGATCCTTAGATAGCAATGCTGATGAGTCTTCATTGCCTCTGACAATGGTAATGCTGCACAGCTGCTGGGGACAGAGCTCTGCAAAGTGCCCTGAGCCCAATCCTTTCTGCACCGAGAATGAGCTGGTTACAGAGAAAAATACAGTATGTGGTGCCAGTGGTCAGCACCTGCTAGTTGTGTGTGCTGTTCTGAATTATTTGAGTAAAGAATACTTAGCTTTTTTCATTTGCAAGTCTCCATCAGTACCTTGCTTTATTCTTTAATGGGCTTCTAACAATCAGCTGGGGGACCTGAGAAGTTTGTTCTCTGGCATAAATAAATCCGGTGCAGATTTCTGGCAGGGGAAATGTGGATCTTGATATTTAGTAAATGAAAGGGTCATATTCCCTTCCCAACACCAGCTTGCCTAAACCTGTTATAAACAAATCATTCTTTTGGAAACACACAGTGGAAAACAACAGTTAATGTGCTTGAATCAAGAATTAATGTTTTAATCTGCTTTTTATGCTGAGAGCCAATTTATAACACACTTGATGTGTCTGAGCACTTTGATAAAGAGGCTGTGTTTGATTCCTAAAACATGCTATGGAATTTTACTAATCCATCATCCAGACACCCACTCCATAAATTGGTGTCGAGTATACAAGTGCACTGTTTACATTTGAGATGTAGTCACAACCTTGGCATAGCTTTAATAATAAATATAAAGTGACAGGGCTACAAAGAATATTCCAACACCTGGTTTAGTGGAAGATGTCCCTGCCCATAGCAGGGGAGTTGGAACTAAATGATCTTTAAGATCTCTTCCAACCCAAACCATCCTCTGATCCTATGAAACTGGAGAATAAAGCTATAGATGTATAGATATTTAGATTTATGACAGTTCTCAGATGTTACATCAAGCTAACCTATTTCTTTTTTCTCTTACAAGTGTAAGCTTATGAAAAGCAAGACTCTTACTGTAATTGCATAATTAAAGTTGCAATTTTCGTGCTTGAATCCTAGATGGCAAGCCTTTTGGGATGGAAAAGTGTGGTGGACTACTAAGGTGTTGGGTTTTTTAACTGTGCTCTGTAGCTGGGCTTGCAAGTTTAACTGCAACAACTCTTTGGTTTTCCAGTGGAGTCACTGAGTGACTGGGTCATAACCTATTTCCAAGGAAGAAAATTCAGCATCTTTATCTTTTACATAACTGGTAAAATGGGCCAGGAGTTTTGGAGCCAAAGAGCTCTACAGGAGCTTCTGCTGCTGTCCTTGTCTCGCAGGGGAGTGACAACAGATCCAGGGATATGGTACATATCCCCAAAGGCAAAGCTTGGAGGTTGTTTCTGGGACAATTCCAGCACGGACAAGAGGACCCACACCAAGGCTCTTCCAAAGTCGTGTATTTTAGGTAAGAGAAATTTAAGCCTATAATTTCTGTACTCAGATACCTGTAAAGTTTTGCATCCTGGTAGTGTTGCAGAACTTGAAGAGCCACAGTGCTTTCTTAGCCCTGAAAGTTACTCATGAGATCACCAGCAAGACTTTGAAAAGACTTTTAATTCTCCTATCTGGAAGGGCAGTGAAGTACACTGGGAAAGGCATTTTCTTGGATCTCGGACACGAAGCCAAAGGGGCAAGAGCTGTTGATAGAATTTCTTAGAGGGGATCCCCACTGTAGAAATGTTGACTCTGGCTCGCTGCTAAGTTTAGAAACCGTGTAAAACACGTCCCCTGCACTTTACACAGAGCAGATGGTACAACAGGCTTTACTGGTTGCAGTGTGTCAAATAACAGATTGTCTAGAAAAGTTTGCTTGCTTTTGGCAGACAATTTAATTCAGCTCATGGCGTGTTACTGAAGTTCACTGTGCATCTCGGCAAAAGTAGGCAGCTAACACATTTTGTGTCATCTGCTATACCAAAAGTTTCTTAAATAACAATCAAAAAATGTTAGAAGTTGTGTCCCTACTTGTTCTCTTGAGTGGAGGTGGAAGAAGGCACCTCGAGTGTGTGAGTAGGAAAAGCAGTCTGAAATCCAAAAGCTTGAATCATATTCCAAAGCCATTCCAAATCTCCTTCCAGTTGGGGAAAAAATTGTATGTTCATTTTCTTTTTTATATACTTCTTGAAATAATTCCTCTCTTTGTTTTGGAATGGGGTAAACATAAAATCTCAGATTTTATTGCAAAAAAAAAAAAAAAAGAGATTCTACAGACTTTTAACATTGAATAGGTTTGGTATCAGATGGACAATGGTTACAGGTGATATCTGAGGAGGTAAAAGACCTGCAGACTGTGGTTGTATGTGGTTCCAAGGGGTGACAATGTCTTTAAAATGGACTTTTTCTCTATCAAATGCCATATCTGGAGCTGTGAATCACTGTGCATGTGTCACATTTCGTTCCCTTGTTGCACATCTTGCCTGTGAACTCCCTTTGCCAAGGTGTGTCTTCTGTGAGCCCATCTGTGCCAGGCCCAGAGAGTGGGAGTCAGTAATCTTTCCGAGTTCTTCAGTGTGAGCCCTAAAAACTCCTGGTTTTAATCCTGCAGAGCACTGACCCAGTGCCTGCCCTGGCCAAAGGGGAGGCCAGCTCTGTGCCAGGTGCTGGGACTTTTCTGGAGGGTGCAAGATGAGACTTTTGCTGCCAAGGGTTGAGTGGAGGAGGTGGAGTCCTCACCACACACAATTCCCCCAGGCCCCCGAGTTTTCCAAGGCCCAAGATGCCAGCAGGCTCCTTCCACACAAACCCAGCCTGCTGACAGACCGTGCTGTTGCCAGCTGGCATGCTTTGATTATATGACTTCATTATTAATCAGGATTTGTCAGCTCTCTCTTGCTCAGCCTGTCTGCCATTCCCTGTCCTCACCAGTGGAGCTGCCAGTGCCCCCAGTGGGGTTGAGGGGACTGGCATTTTCTGTGCCTCTTTTGCCATCTCCTGGGGAGAGCAAAACCTGCCTGGGCTCTACAGCTCTGTGAGGAATCCACCTGTGAGAGCAGCAAAGACCCCCCTGACTGCTGGGAGTCGTGGCAGGGCAAGGAGGAAATGGATTGGAGAGCTGCAAGGGGAATATTTTACCTGGAGGAGGAAAGAAACTTGGCTGGTACTGGAGGGGGGAGCTGGAAGGTGCACAGGGAACGTTTGTATTTTCTCATTGGTGTCACAGATCTCTCCTTTGAAGAGGATGGTGAGGACAGGAGGACACAGTAATACAGGCAATAAACCTGCCCAAAATCTGACCCTGGGTGGTTGGGAACCTTCAAATTTGTGTCCCTCAGAGCTCAGTGACCAGCAGGCTGAGCACAATCTGGTTTAATATCAGCTGCTGCCCCTTCTGAGATCCCAGCTTGTACTTCCTCTGCTGCCTGAGACAGGTGGCCTCAGACCTGAGTCTTTTCTGGGGTCTGACTCTATAAAAGTTGTCACTTACCTTATATGCTCAGGACAATATTACTTGGGGAAATGCTGGTGGGCAGACAGTCCTTCCAAGGGCAAGTTTAGTGACTTGGTTAATCGAGTATATCAAAATCCATCAGCAAACTATCTCACTGGGCATGCTGGAAAATTCTCTGTTCTCTGACTCCTCACTGCCTTGCCCCTCCTGAGGTTATTCCTACAGAGAATGGGTATGAAATGGGTATGCCAGCACATCATGGTGGTGATGCACAGGCAGCTTTATTCACAGGAGTAAATGACCACACAGTGCTGAGGGCAGAGGACAAGAAGGTCTCTCAGAGGTGACTGTGCCTTCCCTCCTGCCTCCTCTACCCAGAGGAGGTATTGGCACTGTCCAGAATTGGTGCTTTCTGTGTCCTGTGGGTGTTTCTTTTTTTTTTTTTTCTCCCCAGACACCCATCACTGACTTAACTGTGAATTCAGTGGGAGTCAAACCAAATTAGAGCATTTCGGAAAATCCTTTTCAAAATATGTAGTCTGCCATCCGTGGGGATGTTCATGGACGCCTTCCAGAGCAGCTCCAGACCAAGCAGGATTGTTGCTCAGTGCCTGGGAGAGCGACAGACTCCACCCGTGGGACACAAATGGAAGGAGGAGTGGGATGGGCGTGGGCACTGGGTGCTGACCCGGTACAGGGTGTGTTGGGGGTGATCCCACCTCCTCCTCACAACCTTTCCCTGGAACAAAATTATAAACTTGGTGGCTCTAGAAAATCCATTTTTTAATTTTTTTTTTAGTGCTGGCCTGGAGCCAGTCCAATCAAGAAACGCTCCTTTGCAATCCCGGTAGCAGCATGAAATGTTCACTTCAATTTTGCTCATAAGCTATTTCTGATGAGCTGCAGACAATTGCAGTGACTGTTCAGCACCAGCCTCCTCTCATATTTAACCATATTTCCATGTAGCAAAGAGTCTTGGAGCGTGGACAAGGATATTTCCTTATTACTTGCTGGTATCTCGGATTTCCTCTCGTCCAAGCACAGAAGCAAATCCAGCATTAGTGGTTTAAGAATTAATTGTCTATCAAGGAGCTCAGGCAAGTACTTTATGGAAATCCTGCTCACATTATCTTTGGAGAAATGGCTGTGGACAACCCAGGCAAGGGGTTCGGTTTTTAACTGATTGCTAATCAAACATGGCAAAATCCATCAGCAAGTAGCCTGAATTAGTGTTCTGGAAAATTAACTAATAGCTGGAGGTGTGCTCCCCCCTGAAATTACTCTTTCTGTGATTTGACAGCTCGAGCAATCCAATTGCTGTGAGTTTAATTTCCTATTTGTATTTCTGTGAGGATGTGTTTTAATGCTGGCTTTGCCTTCCTGCCTTCTAATGAAGATTTTTATTTAAAAAAAAAAACAAACAAACAAAACCAAACCACAACAAAACCATAAAAACCAAGATTGATTTCATAGCAAGGAAAGCCAGTGTTTCTGGGGGAGGTGTTCCTCATGCCCTGAAGGGGAGTGGTGGTGCCACGTGCTGCAAGCAGGTATGGCCAGGGGTGTGCACGTGCTCTCACCTGCCTTTCTGCAGGCTAAATTCTGTATCAAATTCCGTTTCAAAGTGCCTAAATGAACATAATGACTAAGTCGTGAATAATCCAGTAAATGAGACATTTCAGAAACCATTTTCTGATATGAGAAGTGAGAGTGGGAAAAACACGTGCTAAATTAAAGAACTTCTTGTGAA